ATACATATTTATATATTTAAAGTTGTCTTATATACATATTTATATATTTAAAGTTGTCTTATATACATATTTATATATTTAAAGTTGTCTTATATTCATATATTTAAAGTTGTCTTATATACATATTTAAAGTTGTCTTATATACATATTTATATATCTAAAGTTATCTTATATACATATTTATATATTTAAAGTTATCTTATATACATATTTATATATTTAAAGTTGTCTTATATACATATTTATATATTTAAAGTTGTCTTATATACATATTTATATATTTATTTAAAGTTATCTTATATACATATTTATATATACATAGCTTACAAACTATTGATTCCATTAATTGTTAATAGGCGATTAAATCAGCACTATAAAACAATAATGAATTAATTACTGCATTACTGTTAACGGTCCAGGTTGTCAACTTATTGTCACAACAGATAAAAAGAACTAAAAGATATTAAATAGAACTAAAAGATATTAAATAGAACTACATAGAGCTATAAGATATTAAACAAAACTATAAGATATTAAACAAAACTATAAGATATTAAACAGAACTAAATAAAATTGTAATATATTAAATAACAGTAATGTGATATATATATATATATATATATTTATTACAGAGATACTAGGTTATTATTTATTTCATGGCCACAACTATAGTTATTAAATATGAAATGTAAATATATAATACACGATGGTTTTTGTTATTGTTAAGATATATCTGGATAGACTATTAACCATAGGCAAGGTTTGTTAGTATGTCATAGTGTGTATGCGTATAATTGTTTTTATTGTTATGAATACAATGTTGTTTTTTACAAAGTATTCTGTACAAAGATTGTTTGGTACAAACTGCCCCTCCCGAGCTAAGAAGTTTCTTATATCTTAACAAATGGCTCATGTAAATAGTGTGTTTACTTCTACTGTGTTTAATGCATTCCAGCCACTTGATGAGCTCTGGATTGAGCGAAACGCGTCGTCGGCAATGGATATGGGCAACATTGTGTGGTTGGAATGCTAATATTGTGTAGGCTTTTAATTCTTTAAAATCGCTAAGGGACTAGATAAAGAATGCACTGTTAAAAAATATAATATACCTAACAATACTGTCTGATGGCAAGTATAATTAACTTTACAATGCAACTAATTGAAGTATATTGTTCCAAACCTCAAGCACTACAATTTACCAAAATACACGTTTAAATGTCGTCGTTAATCAAGAAAATTAGCTCTAATGGTTTGTCACTAACAACCTGGTAATTAAGATGAATCAATTTTCCCAGAAACTAAAATATAATTATTCTGAATCTTCTGATAAAGTGTAAAAATGGATTTGTGTCTGAGAGTCTAGCTAGTTGTGTATCGCCAACACTCGTGTGTTTGTATTTTAATTACGCTTTGTTGAGACTTCTAGAATCACAAACATGTGTATGAAAAGTTGTTATTCTGAATAATTACTTGCTCTAGCAAACATCTGTGCTGGAAATCGTTCGCGCTAGCTCGACTCCAATTATTTATTCTGAATAACAATAATAAATTAATTATAGAAGTTAGTATGCTGTCTGGGTAAACATTTGTCACGAGGAGGAGATGTTCAGTTCGATTAACTCACGACCTTCTAGATGCTGACAAATATTTCTTATTCGTGTATTAAACAACTTAAGCTATAGATTACAACAAACTTTTGTTATAGCAATTTAAAGAGTTTAACAGTATTTTGTATCAGCTTCGTGATCTGTCTGCTGTCAAAGATGCCATGCAGTTTCCTAGATACACACTTAAGTTTAGTAATATGTAAGAAAACAAAGGCTTTGTTCACTTTCTGTTATATCAGGCGTTTTTAATCCAATGGGTCAATATACAAACAAAGAATTCCGCCTAACACTAGAAGCTCACGTACCACAATACATTAATATTTACAATCTACTAAGTGTGCAAAATATATTATTTCACATGATATAGTAACCTAAGTAATCTACTAATCCATATATTCTAGTGATCTACCTAATCTACTAATCTCTGAAATCTATTAATCCATATATTCTACTTCTATATAATCCACTAATATTTAATATAAATTATTATCCACATAGTATACGTAATCCACTAATCTTTAAAACTAATAATACATATAACCTATTAATTTATTATATTATATCTATATTACTGAAAATTATTTCTTTTTGTTAATGATTTTTATTCACAGACACTTGTGTTACTTCTCTATTTTACTAAACATTGCCTGATTTTATACTTATATAATTCACAAAAGTAATTGAATTTTTTCTCTTTGAAAAGGCCAGCAATTTTAAATTAAAAACACTCATCAATGAAAATAAAATATTTTCATTAACAACGCAACCTTAAAATATTTCACATAAGAATAAAATTGAGAAATATCTTGTAAATCAACATCCCGTTGAGGCCTAATTTTTGTTTTCATTTAAATAGATAAATGAAGATTCTGTTATTTTTTTGAAATAATCTTAAGACATTAAAATAATTCAATTACTCACAATATCGTAATGATCAACATTATTTTCTCTAATGGAGAACGAGTATCTACAGTAAACTACTTTAGCCTAACTTGATCTACATTATTTTCTCTAATGGAGAACGAGTATCTACAATAAACTACTTTAGCCTAACTTGATCAACATTATTTTCTCTAATGGAGTAACTACAATAAACTACTTTAGCCTAACTTGATCAACATTA